TTGTTTAATATATAGGGAAAAAACACCAAAGATAGATACTGAGAACTAGTTAAAAATTTGAGGAGAATATCTACAGGAGCGTTTCCACATCAGATCTTTCTGCTCTCAAAAATTAGATAAAGCTAAAACATACTTTAATGTTCATCAGTGCCTTGTAAATAAACTGAAATATAAAAATACATAGGTGTTCATCATGCTTCCAGACTCAGGTTTTGTGCCTCCTTTTCTTGGGTGCTCAGACCAGCTTTGGCTGTGCCATGAGCACGAGGCACCATGGGGTGGCTCGTGGATGCCCCAGTGTGCGGCTGCCCAAGGGGTGAGCTGCGGCCACGGGTCGGAGCGGAGATCGAAGCTGCAAGGCAGCTAGAGAGCCGCTGTCGGCTTGGTGTAGCACCACTGGCCTAATGCAAATCAGATACAGCTAACACATTGTTCAGGATAAAAAAAATCACCATTTGCTCTGTCCATTTGCAAAAGGAAGAATGAATTCATGAGAAAAGACTTAGATTGGGACTTAATATAATTGCAATCATTTAATTTCTCAGCACAGGGTTTTCTGGGAGATTTTTGAAAGTGCCAAGGAATTGAACTATAATGTGAGCCTACCTCTCTGTGTGTTCAAGCAGCCTTCCTAATCTAGAGCTGGGACAATCAGGGATAGTTATCAGCCCAGACAGTCTTAGTCTCAGAAAATGAGGCGCTGCTCCTTAAAATAAGATAAGGTATCTGTTTAAAATACATGCTTAGGCTAGCTTCTCAGCTTATATAGCCTAGGTGTATGAATGAGTTAGAATGGATGGTATCAAACAGAAGCGGAAAGGTTTGTGGAAAGTTTGGAGGTCCTTGCACGGAAGCAGCTGCCGAGGAGGTTGGAAATCCCCATCTCTTCAGAAGACTCCGTGGTTTTATCCCCTCCTTTTCAGGGCAGAGTGAAATAGCATTGCCCCCTTTGTTCGCACTTCACTCGCACCACATAACTCAGTTTTAAGACAATCCCCAAAACTGAATGCCCTTAAATATGCATCTTGCTACCATCTTCAGTGCTTCAGCTAACAACTGCAAGAGTTGCAAAAGAATTCTCATGGTTGCACCATGACCAAATACCTCTCTCTCTCCTTTTTTTTTCTTCTCTTTTCTCCTTGAAGGATACCAGTCACTGACCATAGCTGGAGACAGGATGTCTGATTGATGTCCCTTCCTCGTCTACTCACGATTATACAGATTGCTTGAACAGGAGTCATGAAATAATTCTCCTCTTTATCCAACCCCATTAAGGGGTCATTAAGATGTTTACACTTTCCCTTAAATATGCATCTTGCTACAAGACATACCTTCGCTAATCCATTCTCTCCTGTTACTGGGGATTGAATCACTGGTGATTTAGTCTTCCGAGAACTGAAACTTTTTAGTATAAAAATCTTCAGGTTCAAAACAGCCATCTGGGAAAATGCTGTGGCTGGGGTGATCTGATGATCACTTCAGATTTTAAATGACCAGGTCACTGGAAGGTCTCAAGGCACTATATAATAAAAAATAGCCAATTATAATTAAAAAAAAAAAAAAGGGACAACATTTCTGGTACAAAATCAACCAGGGTGCCAGTAGCAGAGCTGGGAATAGAGACTAGAGCTTGCATGTCTCAGTCCAGTGGTCTGTCCATCAGGAAATACTGTTCCTTATTACGGCATCAGGCTTGGATGGAGGCAGGCACAGAGCGCTCACCTCTTCCTGCATCCATCTCACATTTGGAGAATAGTGTGCCTGAGCTATGATTTTAGACAGGCTGTGCTGTACAACAGACCTCCCAACTTCATGTAAGTCTGATAATTTCATTTTGAAAGACATACATGTTTCTGTTTTATAACAACAGATTCCAAGAAATTTTCCCCATAATAAGGCTAAAAATAGTTCTCCAAGCCCCACAAGGAATTAATTCCTGCCTATTTCTAAAATGTTTGAAGTCCTCAGCTGGTATCAGCTGTTGTAAAAATTTGATATTTAGCAACGTCTCATGTGAGGCCAAGTTTCTGAAGAAAAGCATAAGAGTACCATACCAAGGCTGATTCTGCCAACACTACAATATCAGCAGATAAATGCAAGGAAGAGAGTTCACTACACTACGCTACATCTTGGTATGTAACGCAATATCCTACTATCATTTGCATGGTACAGTCTAACTCACCTAAAAGCCTGTGATCCTGCCAGTCATCATCTGTATCTTTTAATAGGTGAGAGTCTGAACTGCTTTGATAGCTGCACATGAGCAGATAGCTGAGTACAAAACCTGGGAAATACAGAAAATCAGCCCACACTTTCTCCCTACAGATGAAACTAACGAAATAGATTTGAGCCCATGAGAAAACTATTCCTTCTCTAAGTATCTCAGGAAACACATTTTTGGTGGTTTTAAGAACATGCAAAATTAAAGCACTAAATATGTGACAGAAGGCTTTAGTCCTCTTTAATACGTAGTCCATCGTTAGATGGGGATCATTAAACTGTAATGCATTCACCTGAACAGTAAACTCCATGGTCAGTCTCATTGCTACAATACTGCTGCTGGCTTTCTTCACGCAGCTTTATCTGCGCACTGTATGCGTGATCTGAATCTCTCCCGCTATTCCGTATACAGACTTTCCCTCTCAGGTGAACCAATATTAAATTGCGGGTTTCCTCGTATACTAAAAAAAGCCTACGGTTGAAAGTAGTACTTGCCTGCTGTTACCATCAGCTAGGTCTGCCTCTTCTCTTGCAAACGGCCCTGCTGAATTGGAGTGCTTCCAGAGTCATGGAGAGTCCTGCATGAGGAGACATCAAATGGGCACCCTCGGGCCCCAAGGCAGGGTCAGCTGTATTCCTCCTGCATGCCTCAATGTTTGCCCATCTGTTCTCAAAGGCTTCCAATAACTGAGATTCTACAGTCATACCTTAAAATTTCTTCCACAAAATTTCAACTGCTCTACCTTTACCCTAAGGACAGCCTAGCTCTCGCTTGCTGATTCTCCATTACTCCTACCCTGTACATCACTGGCCACAGATTATTCCTTTCCTCTTTCAGCAAGTTGTTCATATATTTGAAGAGTTATGTTTTCCTCAGTCTTTTCTTTTTTAGGCTGAAGCACTAATGACTGGCTGGAGAGATGAGGGGAGAGCAGTGGATGTTGTCTGCCTGTTGTCTTGACTTCAGCAAGGCTTTTGACGCTGTCTCCCATCACATCCTCATAGGCAAGCTCAGGAAGCGCGGGCTGGATGAGCGGACGGTGAGGTGGATTGAGAACGGGCTGGATGACAGAGCTCAGAGGGTTGTGGTCAGTGGCACAGAATGTAGTGGGAGGCCTGTAGCTAGCAGCGTCCCCCAGAGGTCCAGTCTTGTTTAACTTAGCCATCAGTGACCTGGACGGAGGGACAGAGTGCACCCGCAGCAAGTTTGCTGACGATACAAAACTGGGGGGAGTGGCTGATACCCCGGAGGGCTGGGCTGCCATTCAGAGGGACCTGGACAGGCTGGTGGGACCGGCAGACCATGGACCAGGACAGGCTGGAGGTTGACCTGCTGGAAAGTAGCTCTGCCGAGAAGGGCCTGGGAGTCGAGGTGGACAGCAAGCTGACCATGAGCCAGCATGAACCAGGGGGGTTGGACTAGACGATCTCCAGAGGTCCCTTCCAACCTCAACCATTCGGTGATTTTATGAGCATGCTCATATTCTCATGGGTTAAACATCACACACCTCAGTTCCTTCTTGCTGCTACCCTCTGAATTCCTTCCCGTTGGCCCACAATTCGTTCCTGAAGTGTAATGCCAAAATCAGATGCAATAGGTTTGGGAGGCCTTACCTTTGCTGAGTAGAGCAGGAGGATGAGTGCATTTGTTTTATGGGCTATTTTTCTGTTATGCCTTTTCACACCAACATTATGACATTGCTTCAGCGTGTGATACTCTGTAATTCTCAGGTTCTTTTCTGAAAAATTACTATCTAGCCAGTTGTTCCCTGTCCCGTATTTGTGCTGTTGACTCTTCCTGCTAGGTATTGAACTTGGATTTTCACCTATTACATTGCATTTTTTTTCCCGACTAATTATTTAATTTCAATTTGAATTCTATATAATTTCAATTTGAATTCTAACTTTGTTCTTTAATATCCTAGTGTTTACTGCCATCAGAGGGGGACCTCTAGCATGCCAGAAGATGGAACTGGAATTTACAGCGATCTCGACTCAGTTCAGTTCCTGCTGTAGTCTAGCCGTATTTAATTTGATAAGGACCAGATTGGATTCCAACTAAAAAAGTTTTAGGATTTGGCTCTGAACATCATTTAAAAACAAAAGACCAGTGATTAATTTGATATTTATCTACATACAATTAAATAAAACCGAAAGCTTTTAGGATTTATAAAGGGTGAGCCATGCATTATAAGATGCGTTTCTGCCAGGTAACATTCCCCATCTCCCTTTAATCTTCTAAAGGGCTCTTGATTTATATATTAGTATGTTTGTGTGACTGTTTGCTTTTTTAAAAAGGAAATTAATGTAGCTTTGGAAAATTTATTGAGGCAGTAACATTCCAGATCTTGGGAGAGGGAGAGTATCTTGCCACAATATTTTAGAGTTTAATAATTGATTTTGTTTAATTACAAAACTTTAAAAATTGTGACTTAACTCACTTAGTACTTTCCTAAATACATTGAAGTACTTCTTGCCCAGCGGCACATCCCACAAATAAGCTTAATGCACTTTTTGGTGCTATGTTGCACCAGTAACTCTGGGAACACTGTTTCCAAAAATGCTTGAATTCAAGATGGCAACAACAAAGTAGTCTGGAGAACAGGCAGATATCTGACCTACCACCATGCTCCAAAAACCACTCACTCAGTTCTGAATGATATGACAATCAGGAAATGGGTTTGATTATTCTTCCTAACTCTAATGAGTATCTCATACCTTTGTTGTAGATAAAAAAGTGTACACCACGTCTACAGTGTGGATATTAAAAATAACTCATTTTATACATATTTTAGTGGTTAGAAATGTCAGTTCCAAGTTCTGGAATTTAATGTCCAGGTTCTTTTAATCAACATCATTGTAAATTCTTCTTTCCTGTAGGACAAAGAAAATTATATTAGAAAAAGGTAGCAATGCAAACCAAAGGAAACATGGATGGTAGATGATACTGTACAAATCACTTACTTCTATCAAGAGAAGACAATGTAAACCATTAATGCACAACCCACTATCCAGCCAACTGCAAGGAGTATAGGTACAACAAGACGTGAAAGCGGGATTTCTGCTGAAAGAGAGAAGATGGTCTTTTTCAGAAACGTCTCAACACCAGATTGATTCTGAATTCATTAATTTAAACACGTCAACACTGTAATTATCACAGAGCAAAAAGATACCTGTGGGCTTGGGCCTCATAGTCTATCACTGCTATTTTTAACATGGCGTCACCGTATCTTGGCAGGCTTTCTAATAAAAATACATAGCAAAAGCCAAAAGATTTCCACACTATAGTCTCTGCAATCAGATAGGCACAAGGCTTAGCACTTCCAAAAGAAGCAGGGTAAAGGGAGGATACAGAAGCGTGGTTCTGTCCTTGGTCTCCATAGGTCATACAGGAGAACATCTGTACAGGACTTTATTGACAGCAGCTGTCTCAGCAGATTCAATCCACTGACACGCGCAACACCTTCTAGAAGTCTCACTAGGTTGGCAACAGTAAATCAAAAATAGAGTCATTGTTTAACATTATACACATTTAATTTAACATTAACATGCCTGGGGCTGCAATGAGGATGCTATATGAGTTTCTACATCCCAAAAGGATGACTGACTGCCAGGGGCTGTGCCCCAGGCACTCATAGCTCATCTCTATGCTTTCTGTGCAGGGTGCCTGATTTAGTCATCGCCTCTCCAGTCGCTAGAGTGATATGAAGTAGTTATGGTCAATGCAATTATCTGCTGATGGGGTTTTCCCCACCTTCAGGTAAGAAAATACCATAAAAGTTGCCAGTGTGGTGCAAACCAATGACGTGGTAACCACAGTTCTGAGTTTGTCTGGCAGAATGTACCATCTGTCCAGCTGAGTTGGGCCAGTCACAAACACGTGATGTTTTGCCTGTAACGTCTACTGTTACTAGGACAAGCTAATAAATAACACTGAGACAATAAACAATTCTGATGTCCTAGGCAGAGTAATGGTTCTACAAGAAAGCATGTAGGAAATAGAAATAGAGCTTTCTATAAACTGCTGTTCAAATTTCAAAGATCATTCTATCGTTTTTCTGCAAATGGCAGAAGCTTGCTAGAAAGCAATCGTATCAACCTTTGTTACCAATCATATTTGTTACCAATATATTAGAACATTTTAAAGCACATCCTTCTGCAGTTAAAAGAGCAGCAGGTTTCTGAAGGGATTAACAAATAACCTAAAACTAGTCACAACGCCTTGCAGAGTTTGGATCAAGTTGACAGACCTTGCAGGGATACTCAATAATTTCAGATTTTCCACACTACTCTTTTAAAGCTATACACAACAAAAATATGTCTCGCCATGATATTCCAAGTTACGTCTACCAGGAGGGAAAGGGAGGACATACAGATAGAAAATCTGCATGTATAAATCAAATAAAATACAGAACAGATAAGCAACCAAATACCACAAAGATAAAATCCTGCTCTGAAATTTTGGTATCCTTTTGCCACGAGGGAATTCCATACCTGTTTCCTTTAAAGACCGTTACTCCTTTGATACTTTATAAGGTAAAGCTACATCCGTTGGGAATGATTTCTCTTTGCTTGCAATTTTTTCTAAAGGTCCTATTCGAAATAAAGGACTGGATCCTACCAGGGTACATGGAAGAGTTTTGACAGAGCTCTGCTGAGTCTTGCCAACGAGTCTTCTGAATATGGTGTTTTGTTACATGAGATCCAGTTCAAATGCAGTAAGATAAGAGGAGCAAGTAAGCACTGATGGGTCAGCAAGAATGCTGTGCTGAGCGTTTGTCATGAGGCAGCAAGCAGCTGGCTCTGAGGGATAGTGTTTCATGGGAGCCACTGGGAGTACTTGTGTTTCATCGTCTGAGAACAGAAACGACCACGAGATCATTTGCTCTGATCTCCTGTATGTCATAGGACAGACACCCACACCCTAAGACTTTAGTTAGAGTAAAGCAACTGTTTGGAAGACTATATTTTATACCATAAGCAAGAGAGACTGAAGCATGACATATGCACAAGGCTGGGGGATGGACTGATGAGACACTGAAGCAGATAACCCATTTGCAAGGCCTCAGAAGAAGGTGATAAACTCCAAGGTCCCAATATTTGATCTAAGGGGAAAACTACCCTGTGTCTAAATCTGACAATCAGCATTACCTTTACCATGGAGCAAGGCCATGCACACCAACAGCCAGAAAGAGGATTTTTCTCAACTGCCTTAGAGCATCCACATTGCCCTGTTTTCAAGCTTCAGGTGGAATAGGGGGGGGGGCTAAACAGCAGAGGACCAAAATACATCTAAGCAACTATGCTTTGGAAAGAAAGAAACCCCTGCAGGTGGCCAGCTAAAATCCTAAAACATGAGCTTTCGTTATAATGACTTTTAATGAATGCAAATAAAAGCAGAATACTTGAGGGAAATGTGGGTTGTTGAGGAGCAGTCCTAAGTATTGCTTTCAAAGAGACCCAAGGAAGCAAACCTCTGCCTCTGGGGTTTGAGCCAAAGCCCACTGAGATCAAAAGACCAATTCTGGATGGCAACAAGAATACATAAAAGAATCTTACTGTGACACATATATGTAAGTTGGCATTCTAGCTACAAATTACTTTCTTTTCCCCCCATTACAGTCATTTTTCTCTACTTCAAACACAGACTTGTCTCAAAATAAATACAGATAGATTGCTCAGGCTGACAAACAGCACTTGTGCTGCGCCACACCAGAGTTCCGCTGTACATGCGATAAATGAACTGGTCTGAGCTCTGTGGTCCTGCAGCACGGAAGGCCTGAGAACTGTCTATCATGAGCCCCAAGTACCTTATTGAAGCCAAGGATCCCTCACCTACAGGATATAGCAGCACAGATTTCCAAGCTGAATACAGCAGTAAACTTCATCTTATCACTCCTTTCTTTTGTCTGGGCTTTACTGGGTTTTATTCAAAACTATAAATAGGTCGGTTTTGCCACGTTTACTCAGTCAAAACTCCTACCAACTTCCACGAGCAAAATGAAGCCTAGGCCACTCTCCATCATCTTTGAAAGGTCCTGGAGATCAGGAGAGGTGCCTGAGGACTGGAAGAAAGCCAATGTCACGCCAGTCTTCAAAAAGGGCAAGAAGGAGGAGCCAGGAAACTCCAGGCCTGTCAGCCTCACCTCCATCCC